TATATATAATTATATAGAATTATATATATATATATATAATTATATATATGTGTAGTATTTGTCACTTATTACCCAGCAAGGATACCGATACACAACCATCTCTACACAATAATATCTTAGTTCCGCAACCATGAATAATAGCAAAGGTACGCGATTGTTCGAGGAGCTGGAGCGTGATCTGAAGGCTAAGGTGGAAGCGGCCAAGAACATCCTGGACAACATACCCAACCAGTCTGGAGGTATATGTGCACTTTTAGTGATTAACCCACGTTTACATGGTGTAAGTGTGTATTGTTAGTGATTAACCATGTTTTCATGGTGTGTGTAATTGTTAGTGATTAACCCACGTTTACATGGTGGAAGTTTGTATTGTTATTTATTAATCTTGTTCACACGAAAGTATGTGTCGTTAGTGATTAACCATGTTTATATGCATCTTTCGAATATTCCATTGCGTTCAAAAGTGGGGCCATCGCGTCAAGATCTGTCAGATCGCATTGAAGTGAATGATTTTTGTAACTGTTGAGGGACTCTCACGAATACGTTGTTTATTTACGTTTGAGGTCTATACTTCTCTGTGCTTCTGTTTGTTTTTAACTGACAACATATCACAGATGTATGTCAATGGGTCTTTGTACGTGTCAGTGTACAGCATGTTCGTGCACATCCGATTTGAACATAGATGTGTGTATTCGTGTTGTCTAGATGTGTGTATTCGTGTTGTCTTTCTTCAGTTGTCAGAACAGCGTTGTACTAATCCATGGCCTTCTAAATGAATCAGGAGGCTATGATTGTTTTATTTAGAAGGCTATACTCTCCATTCACAACTACACATCCTGTTTGTGTGTACATCAAGAGACTAGATGCACATAGCCCTACTCTTTGCGTTGCTACACATGCATATGCTCTGGCTGTGTGTGCTGTTAATATGTTCGCAGATTACTATCCAAAAGAATGCGTACATGCATGCATACGGCACCATGTATGTACATTTGGATTTGTTATGTGTATCCGTTTTATCAGATACAACCGTACAAAGCTAATTATTTGTCTATATGGGTTGTATGCTTCAGGCTGTGCGTTTGTTTATGCATGAAAGCTGTTATTGTGATACACACTGATATGCTTGCAATTGTTTAATGCAAACCTATGTGAGTAATGCACATTGTTTATGGTCGTCTGTATACACAAGCATAATTTAACATAACGCGTATATGGGTCCATGAAAATATATTCAGGAGATGTTAAGTTTTATGTATGTATTTATAAACCTGTATACGTTTCTTGTCCAGTGGACCAGTTCTGTATACGTATAATCTATATGGTACTGCGCATCTGTGTTCTTCACGAAGAGTGTCCACATAAGTACTTACAGAAATTACAAACAGTATATATATATATATATGTATATATATATATATATATATATATATATAATATATGTATGTATGTATGTATGTATGTATGTGTGTGTTGTATAGAATGCTATCATACGCATATTCCCGAATATTTCTAACAATAAGCAACCTTCCTGTGATGGAATTCCAAACAAGCGACGGTTGCTTTTGTGCGTGTATGTATGGGTAGCTCTCGCATGCGTCTCTTGTCCATTTCAGTTGCGCTTCCTATCATTGTTCTCACATGCACTATGGCTATCATACAGAAACAAAGAAGGCTGCCATACAGCGGGTGGCCCGTATCGCCGATGACGCGAAGGACCTGGTACGTTATACCTACCTGAACCATTGGCTGTGAGTTTGAACACATAGACCCATGTTAGTAAGTGATGTGTATTTTTCCAGGATAGCTGGCTGCGTTCATGTGTTTTAATGGGAGATCAGGTGCATATTCAATTCATCGTGACAGCCTTTAAGTTGGTCGACATATGTTCACACCTTGTGGAACATGTTCGACCGATTTGGCTCCCCCACAGTTATAGACCACGCGTACTCCACTATGTGTAATGTACCTACAACAATGTGCTAGTTTGTTACTCTAATGTACCTACAACAATGTGTTAGTTTTTACTCTGATGTACCTACAACAATGTGTTAGTTTGTTACTCTAATGTACCTACAACAATGTGTCAGTTTGTTACTACTGGTGACAGTTCGTGGTGTGTGTACTGTGACGCTCACAGCATTTGCTGTACAGCGTCAACCACGGATGACGGATGTGTTGCCGCAATTCCTGCTTGCTTGTGTAGCTTTCTTCTCAATGGCTGATGATTCCCATCAACCCATTCTCTCTGACCTTATTGGTTGTTATTGGTTGCTGATTATTTGGGTCTTAGTGGCTGATGATTCCCATCAACCCATTCTCTCTGACTCTATCGGTTGTTATTGTTACTGAATCTGATGTATTGACGGCGCAACACGCCTCAGGTGAACCAGCTGTCAATTGAGCTCAAGAACCAGTCAGGGTCATCCAGATCCACTTTCGATGCAGTGGTGCGCTTTATGCGTAGCGAAGTGGACTCAATACAGACACAACTGGTATGTCCATTTTATTCTGTACTCTGTAAAGGCTTTCATTATACTTTAATGTCTGTACGGGCTTCACTATGCTTTGTTGTCTGTGGGGGTTTCACTGTACTTTGTTGTCTGTAGTAGTTTCACTATACTTTGAAATATAGTTGTACACTCTACTTGCATCGGGTGCGCTATTGTGCAGCTGAATGCCAGTGATATTTGACCTGTGATATGGCACACATGTGTGGTATGGGTGTGACAGTGTTCTACTGCTGAGCAATGGTACTGTTGCTGTGTGCTGTATGTGGTTGGTTGGGGTTGTCTTCCGTTGTTAGCCTTCTCTGTAAGGTACGCTTTGTGGTGCGTTAACGTTATAGGCTGCCGTGAAGTAGTCATGTGAAGGGAATGTTCGACCCGCAGATCAATTATACCACCGTAGGTTTTCGTCAGATCAAATTCAGCCCATAATTGAGTCCTTGCACCCAGCGCACTCAGTTTTATGGCCTATTGGCCTCAGTCCCTTTACTCTCTACCTACGGCCACTGTCCACTATTTGACTTGAGCCACAAAACCCTAACCCCTAAAACATCGTCCGCTGTGTGTGCTTCTTGTCATATATGCTGTCAGTGTATATTGGCTGGCCCAGACGTTCTGGTGCGAGCCTTAAAGACTAGCAGTGTTAGATCCCGTACTATTGACTATGTGGCTATGTGGCCCCTCACGCGTCCTTGTGTGTGCGGATGTCCTGATATGTCGTCGAAGGCTCCATATCTGTTGGCCAAAGCTATTTGTCAGCCATGTCGTT